GGAAGATAGGCTGAAAATCAGGGAAGTATGCATCCAGCTCAAGAAATTAGAAGCAATAATAAAAAAAGAAAAAAGAAACAAAGAAAACAGGAAAAAGTGGTATTAGTAAGAGCATAAAGTAAGAGAATAGAAAGCAAAAAGAGGATTAAAAACAAAATTTGGATCTTAGAAAAGACTAAACACTGTCATTAACTGAAGATTATATAGAATATCTAAATTAATTTGCAAATAATTTACAGGAACCAATAGAGTTTCCACATACAGAAGCAATACAAAAAATTGTATTTTACACATAATCAATAGATTGTGGATTCTCACTTGAGAATATTTAGAAAAGGTGGACAAAATACATTAAAAGAATGATGGATGGCACTGGAGAGCTAAGTTAGTAAATGATTAGCCTTCCTGGAAGAAAACAGAAATTCAAAGAAGTGAACCACTCATTTGGGACTTGTGCCCTTGGAGCTTTTGAAGATAAGAGTCTGTTGAAAAGGTAAAGACAGTTAAGGGACTAGGGATTGAAAGGTACAGTCCAGTGCCAGACAAGAGGTGGGGGCCCTGGGAATCCTAACCTACACTTTGCAACTCACTTCTGAAAAGTTGTAGGAGTAAGGGTAAACAAGAAGTAGAGGACTAGTAGTGTACAGCTCAGCTCTGAATCACATGGATAACTAACAAAATCTTGACTATGAAATTAGTCTTGAAATAGCAGTGCCCAAATGCCTCTGTGGAGGATGAAAATACTATGCAGGACATCAAGTTAGTTTTGCAAGCAATTTTTCAAATATAATATTAGTATACAATTAAAGATAACCCCATACACACAAGGATGTAAGATGAAGATTAGCTGAAATAAAAGAGAAATAAAACCAGACCCACAGGAGAGTGCAGATTTAATCAAGAATATAAAATAATATTAAGGCTTTTCAAGTTCAGGTAGGTAAAAGATTGAAAATTTCAACAAGACAACTGGAAACTCCAAGAGTGACGGATTTGCATATTTGCAATGAGAAATTTGAGAACTGAAAATAAAATGGGCTAAGAATAACCAAGACATTCTTATAGAACAATAAGTTGGGAGGACTTATTCTGATAAATATCAGAAACAACATATCAGGTACAGTGGTGAAGACTGTACTAGCACAAGAATAGAAAAGAAGAAACAAAAAATTCAGAGATGTACACATAAATGGATATTTGACTTTGGTGGCACTGCCAAAGAGAACATACTCATTCAGTAAATGGTGGTGAGGCACTTCACAGCATACACAAAATTAATTCCTCATGAGTTGAAAATGTGAAAGAAGCTGCCAAAGTCTTTAGAAGATAATATATAGAGTACTGTCTTGTCCTTGGATAGAGAACACTGTCTTAAGCAACTCCCAAAATACACTAACTTTAAAACAAAACACTGATACTTCTTAGTACCTCACCATTATGAAATTCTTTTTAGCAAAGAACATAAAGAGAGGAAAATACTTGGTAATAAATAGCTAACAGGATTTATAAAGATCTTCCACAAATTAAAGAGGAAAAAGACTGCCAACACAACAGAAAAATGGGCAAAATAATTGAAAAGATACTTTGCAAAAAAGAAAGCCAACAAACTTAGAAAAAAGTGCTCAATTGTTAGGGAAATGCAGACTAAAACTTCAATAACACAACTGGAAATTTCACTAAGTTGGCAATCTGTTTAACATCACTGTTGAGCAAAGTGTGGAAATACAGGTTATCTCTACTGCTAAGGCAAAACTGTTATTACCTAATAAAATGTAAGATGTGAACACCTATGACCAAGCAATTTCATTCCTAGGTATATATACCTTAGTTGCACTAGGAAATACATACAATAATGTTCATTGAAGAACTATGACTGCCCCAAACTAAAAAACACCCCAACTATCCACAGGCAATTGAATAAATTGTGGTATATGAATGCAAAGGTAAATTCCATAACCATGTTAAACAAACTGTCGCTATAAGGAACATGGATGATTCCCATGTTGAATGAAAGAAAGAGCCACACAAAAAATATAGTCCGATTCCATTTACATAAAGCTCAACACCCATCAAAACTAAACTATCTCGTTTAAGTGCATGATAGGTGGTTAACAATATAAGTAAAAACAAAGACAGAATTATCACAAAATGTAGGATAGTGATAATTGCCGGGTATGCGTAGGGAAGCTGGCTGTGATTGTGAAGAGACTATAAGGGACATTTCTGGGCTGCTGTCAAATACGACTGATAGCTGATTATACAAGCACTTACTTTATTTTTTTTAAATGTTTAGTTTTGAGAGAGTGCATTTGTGTATGAGAGTGGGGGAGGGGCAGAAAGAGAGGGAGACAGAATCTAAAGCAGGCTTTGTGCTTTCAGCACAGGGCCTGACATGGGGCTTGAACTCACCAACCATGCGATCATGACTTGAGTGGAAGTCAGACACTTAACTGACCGAGGCACCCATGTGCCCCAAGCACTCACTTTAAAATTAATCCTGGGGCGCCTGGGTGGCTTAGTCGGTTAAGCGTCCGACTTTCGCTTAGGTCATGATCTCGCGGTTCGTGGGTTAGAGCCCCGCGTCGGGCTCTGTGCTGACTGCCAGCTCAGAGCCTGGAGCCTGTTTCAGTCTGTGACTCCCTCTCTCTCTGACCCTCCCCTGCTCACGCTGTCTCTCTCTCACCTAGAAATAAATAAAAATATTTAAAAAAACACAAAAAACAAAAAAAATAAAAAATAAAATTAATCCTTAAGGGGCGCCTGGGTGGCTTAGTCGGTTAAGCGTCCGACTTTCGCTTAGGTCATGATCTCGCGGTTCGTGGGTTCGAGCCCCGCGTCGGGCTCTGTGCTGACTGCCAGCTCAGAGCCTGGAGCCTGTTTCAGTCTGTGACTCCCTCTCTCTCTGACCCTCCCCTGCTCACGCTGTCTCTCTCTCACCTAGAAATAAATAAAACATTTAAAAAATTAAAAAAAAAATAAAATTAATCCTTAAACTGTGTATTAATACTCTATATATTCTTTTGTATATATTTGAATATGTATTTCTCTACTTAAAAAACACAGCTAAGAAATGCCAAAGGAAAAATGAACACTGAAAATTACCTATTGAATACTTACTCTGATCCCTAAAATTTCAACTTCCTGATTTGTTTTGAATTTGTTAAAATAGTTAAATCCATACCTAGGGACTGTATACAAACTGATTATTTATTTATAATCACAATCAAATTTTGTAATTATAATGTTTCTTCCATCATTGAATTATTAGAGATTTTTCCTTAAGTTCTCAAGAGAACAATTTTCTGTTTTCATTTTTACTATTATATAATAGTGGAGTCTAAACATTGGTGACCTTTTTGTGCCTCATCTCTGCTACCAGGATGTATTATAATAGTCAAAACATAAAAACAAAGATATACATCTATTTCCAAATTCTAGCTTTGGGACAATTCAGAGGAAATTAGTGAGTACCACAACTGTTTTGAACTTTAAAAAGGACCATGCTTTAGACATCCGCAACCAGCAGTGTGAGATTTAACCAGATCTTCTAGGTTTTACACGGTCATCATTTTCCCCCAATTGTTTTAACAGAATTTTCAGAAGCCAAAAGCACTTTGAAATAATGTTCTTCTACACCCAGTGACTGTTTATCTTCATGATTGCAAAAACTTGAAAATTAGAAAAGACCCAAGTAACATCACTCACAAAACGAATAGCAAAATTGGAATCTTTGGAGTAAACCATGGAACAAGATTTACAAAGATACTGTCAAATTTCTTAATTTATTTTTAATAAGTAAAAAATCACTCAGTGGTATCATACAAAAATCAAAAAATTTTTGCACCTGGTATTTTAATCACCAAAAGTGATCTCATGGTACAGAGATAAAACAGATAAAAAAAAACCTGTCATTAACTTCACTCTGGCTTTCCAGCTTAGAACTAAGTAGAAATTAATCACAATAACCATTACCTACAGGGGGAAAATTGATGAAATGATTTCAGGTTTAATCATAAAATGAACTTTAATCTTTGTTGGTTTTGTTTATATCTGTTAAAGCACTGATCACTAAAAATAAAGAGTTGATAGCATGGTTCCAAATTTACTTCTGAAGAAATGTGGAGATTTAGGTAAAATAAAAGCAAGCTATTAGATCATAGTTGAGAATTGCTGAATGGCTATTTGAAAACATCATTTATTATTTATCATACAAAGGAAATTGAAAGTGGGGAAGAGGCTTTTTATAGAAAAGCCCTTTTATTATTGCTAGCCTCAAGAATTCCAAGTCATAGAGCTTTGATGTTCCTGAATTCAACTTTAAAAAATTAATTTTAAACGTTACACTTGAACAAAAATTACTTATTTCAAAGGTATCCATTTCCTTTAAACTCAACCTGTCCACTTACCCTTGTCTCCAATGCAGAGTATATTTTTATTCATACAAATTCACCCTCTACTCCCAAATATATTTTCCCAACTGGATGATACTTTTACAAAAGAATGAAACAATACAGGTGGTTGACCAAGTAATTTAAACTATAAATGAAATAAAAGGAAAGTTAAGTAGAGAGTATAAGAAGATACCAAATAGGAAGTAATACTGATGTGAAGCTACTCTTTAGTTTATCAAAGTACTTATTAATGGTCTGAACAGGAGATCAGAAGAAAAGCAGGTAGAGGTAAATGACTTCCTGTGGTTATAAAATGCCAACTGCTTTAGAATGCATGATTTAGAAATAAAAGAAACACTTGCTGTTTTTACCAAGTTTACAGTGTTGAGTACATTTTATGTCCTTTTAATGAAAGAATTTATAATGATAATCTGCAATATCTCCTTTCAGAAAACAAAGTATTCTATCAATAAAGACCTAAAAAAATAAATTTTTATCTTTGTCAACGCCTTTTCTGGGAATGTAGAATAAAATACGATTCCCTTTAAAATAAAGTATTATTTTTTCTGTCCATTAGGTTGTTGGAAGAAAAAAAAATCAAGACTCAACTAGTAATGATTTTTTTAATTTCTAGTTTCCATCTACTTCTAAGGACACTCCCTTTACAAAACGTTTTAGTCTTCTATACTAGGACAGTCAGGTTTAGAGTTCCAAATAAATAAAATAGCCACATTAGAAGGCATACTGAAGAATTAAATTAGCTGCATTTATCTGTTCACATTTAATCCGAGTTAACATGTGTCATCTGACCTACTGCTCATGGGTTACAATACTGATGCTATCAACAACGATCCTGATTTTTGGGAGACAGTGATACTAACAAACTGTAGTTAAATTAGCAGAGGTAACAGGACAGTAAACTGTAATGGTACAATTTAAAATGTCTACTCTTTATCCACTGCTACCATCTCTCCTCTTCCCACTGGTGTTAAACTCAAAGACTAATTATGAGAGGTGCAGGGTGCCAAACACTATTTGTATGGAAAAACTTGGCCTCAAATAGTGCACAAAAGGAAATTCATAAAATAGGATTAAATTTTTTGGATAGTTGCATTTGTTACTTTCAATTTCTTGATCTTTTATCTCTTCTGGTGACGGATACATATTTTCTTTTCTTTTCATCCAGAGGTTAATACATAAATGTTTTGTAAGCATTATAAAATGTCAGTCCAGTTCAAAATTGCTTGTGATCATATCCACATATGAAGCACTAGACAAGTATATATTATATGCCAAAATGCTTTACAATTCTTCACTGTAGTTTTCTACTGATGTTTCCCTTAAATTAAGGCTTCATCAAAGAGAAATCCATAATACTATGAGTTGATTTTTTCATTCCTGAATTAAGTGCAATCTTTTCAAAATCAAGTAGTCCTGGAGTAAATTTAAGACATCTTCTGTTAATCAGTGTCATGACTAAAGTAGTATCTCACTGGAGGTCCAGGCAAATCTTCATCTCCGTCAGTGTCTGGAGCAAATGACACAGTAAGATCTACATATTTCTTTTCAGTAGAAGGTTTCACAAGTTTATGCATCCTAAGAAAAATAATCAAGGACAAATGATTTAGTAAATTCTATAAAATAAAAAGAGTGATTTGCTATTTAATGTTGCCCAGAAAATCTGGATTTATATCTAGACTTCACATTTATTTTTAAATATAATAATTCATCTGGTTTCATAGATTATAATTTTTCTTCACTAAACTCAAGATATTCATCTACCTAACAGTGAATCAATTTGGAACACTGCTAAGTACTGATAAAGAATATAGACCATTTGTTACAAGACAAAAAACAACAAAACAAAAAAACCCACCCACACACAAAACCAAAATGTAAGCATTGTTTTGAAAAATGAATTATCCTCATACTCCCTATAAAGTGTGGAGACATCATAAATTCTTCTCAAGCATTTCTATGTGAAGAGTAAAAAGCAAGCTAGATTTAAATCTTCAAATGCAAGCTAATCACAGTGAAAGACATTCCTGAGTTTTACCTTTGTCTTATATTCCATGTATATCCTGGTCAGTAAAAAAAAACACTTTATTATTGCTATTGTCACTGATACATTCTTAAGTCAAATCACCATCTATATATCCTTAGATTACTGGATTAGCTAGCTGTCTCCTACCTCCAATCACCTCTGTTGCCAGAATTCTCTTAAAGTGTAACTCAATTTTACGTCCTTGCTTAATATTATACATCTTATACCATGTACCTATCTCATGCTAAACTCGGAACTATGTACTCTATTTAATTCTCAATAATAGTTCTTTCCATTTTACAAAGGTATTTTGTACCATTTATAACTTCTCAGTCTTTTCACCATTCTTAACCATCTCATCCTTAAATCAATCCAAAATACTGATTTCCCAAACAGATCATGCACACTTTTTATTAGGCACATGCTCTTGCATAAGCTATTGCTTTGCCTGATATCCTAGCTCAAATGAAATCTACCCTAAGGTGAAAGTTTGAGTAAGTAGTACCTACAGTATTCTGTAAAAATCTTTATTTTTTATACTAATTATTCAATTACATTTTAATGATGAACATGTCACTTTCTCAAAGTAGACCATGAATTCCCTGAGGGCACAGGCTATTTGATAAAGATATACAATGACAAAATATTAACAGGAGTAACATTTATGGAATTACTTCTTGGTTGCTATTACATTGCTAGTCTTTACAATTATTTTAATGCTTAATAGCTATGGGCACAATTATTCCTACATATGGATGGAGAACTAAGTTTCAAAAAAGTTTGGTAAGCTACTCAATTTGACAAAACAAGTTAAGTAGCTGGGGATGGATGTGAACCCAGATCTTTCCAAAGCCAAGCTTGTCTAGCCACTTATTAGGTACTTAGTAATTATGTGCTAAATGAAAAATGTAATAAAATGTAAAAGAACATTCACAAAGTTTATCATGCTGGAGACAGCAAATACTGGCCAACTCTATAAAGCACTTAATTATGAATTATTTGCACCAAATTTTAAATCCCACACATTCTGCTTTCATCTAGGTAGCACACAGTAAATTCTATTATTAACATATCCAAGAGATACTCAGGGATCCTAATGACAAAATAAGGTAAAGCAAATTAACACTTTCTCTATGTAATAGTGATTTTGTTTCTTAAAGTTACAGATCAGTAAGCCTGGATTATAATAACTAAAAAGTGATTAATCTCATTAATTGGTAATTATAGTAAAACCTGCATATTGGTTAAAGCACTTTTCAAGCAGACTCATTTATTCATATGACAAATATTTTTATTTTAATTTTTATTAAAAAACTAAAAAATTTTAATTGGGGTATAATTCACATAACATTGTATTAGTTCCAGGTGTACAACCTGATGATTTGATATTTGAACATAATGCGAAATGAATAACAAATATTTATTGCTACCAGGCATTGGTGTAGGTCCTTGAGATATATCCATGACCAGATCAATTACAGAGTCCTGTATCTGTGAAGGTTGCATTCTGGTGGGGAGCACACAGAGAAGCATAAACATATTTAAATAGGGATAGGCCTCTTCCAAACAATTAGAGCAAAGGTCCCGTGCAGGAGCATTAATGGACTATTCAAAAAATAGCTGGAAGCCAGCAAAGCTGGTATACTGTGAGCAAGTGAGACAAGTATGGATGAAACTGAGAAGGGTAACTTGGAAGCAGGGCCTTGTAGACCACTGTTGAGACTGGCCTTTTCTGTTCCCTCTGTTCGTTTAGGTCTCTGCTCAAATGCCACCGTATCTGGTGAGAATGTGACAGGCTGAAGGAATACCTCAACTACTCAATATACCACAGCAACTTAACACTCCTTATTCTGCATTATTTTCTTCACAGCACTTACCACCATCTGATATACTTGTCAAGAGGTTTGCATACTTCATTATGCAAACCCAATTAGGGCATGGACTTTACTTTGCTCACTGCTGTATCCCTAGTGCCCACAAAGTACCTGGCACATAGCAGGCACTCTTCAAAAACATATTTTGAATAAATGAATGAAAGCAACATTCATGGCATTTTTATTTTATACTTCAGTCTCTTTGGCCTATCATTATGTGTTTCTACTTTTACATGGTGTATTAACCAAATCAGGTTTCTAGGCTTATTAGCTTACAAACTGGATCTGAACTACAATAAATTCACAAGGATATTATAATCCTATGAATCTCTCTTGAGAGGTAGCCTGTTGAGTTTGGTACATTTACGATATTATTGCCATTACACAGGAGTAAATTACATACTTTTATCTCAACTTTGATAATCTCTGTATTTGATTTTCCTTATATTTTAATTGTTGTGAATATTCTGGTATAATGGTCACTACTTACGTTAACTTCAATCTTTTTGCATGACCAGGCATTACAGGAACATAAAGCATTTTGACTCCCTGCACCACCATCGTTGGTTCAATTCCATACTTCTCCTAAATGTGATTACCCAAAAGAGAAACAATCAAAGCTATGTCCAAACATAAAATGCTGGGTAACAATGTTTACAATCAGTAAAAGGATAGAAAACAAACTTCTGCTAAATATTATTTATGAAAACCTCCAACTAATGAACTAAGTAAATAAGTGTCTCACTTTGACTGCATTTATGAAATCCAAGAGGGTGAAGTCTTCTTTTCCATGTACAGTCCATCTGTCCCAAATTGTAAATGATATTCCATTTCTGTTGTAGAAAAATATTCAAAACAAATTATCTTAATTTTTCTCCTTTTAGTAATAATAAAAAACCCCAGAAGTCCATTATTTGTGATTTAGCTACATAATGATATAGGGGGAAAAAAAATACAACTTATCTCCCCATGACACCACACAAGGTAACCACTTTTTTTTTTTTTTTAAGTTTATTTATTTATCTTGGGTGGGGAGAGAGGAAGCAAAGAGAGAGAGAGAGGGAAAGAGAGAGAATCCTAAGTAGGCCCCACACTGTCAGTGCAGAGCCTGCAAAGGGCTAGAACTCACGAATTGCCAGATCACGACTTGAGCCAAAATCAAGAGTCAGATGCTTAACTGACTGAGTCATCCAGATGCCCCCAAGGTAAACACTTTTATCAGTAACTTGATCCTTCCAGTATCTCATAATAAATCAGTGTCTTAGGGAAACAATTTTTTCTCTCTCTCTAAATAGCTGCATGGGTTTCCTATACGGATGTTACAGTCCTCTATTACTGAACAATTGGGTTGTTCCAATCTTTGGCTATGATAAACAATGTCAGAATGAATATCTGTATTAGCTGTAAATGTATTATTTAAGATGAGTGCAAATATATCTGTAAATTTGACATATAGCACTCATGTCCCTTATTATGGATTACACCGTATTATACCCTCATCAGTAATACATGAAGAGAGGGCTTTTCACATTCTTGCCAAGATAGATGTTTCAAGTTTTTGGTTGTTGTTAATCTGAAAGTGAAAAATGGAGGTCGAGGGGAATTGTTCTGCTCTGTCACATAGTTTTGGGAATTAGATACTAAATCTCATGATACATTACTCTGACACCATAGTGGCTTCTAACTCATCTGAATTAGAAAAACATAGATGAAACCATAAGAAAGTACAATACTAAATAATGTGGCAGGTTAAATTCTGTGAGTGTTCTATGGCTGGTTTAGTCAGAGATGCTTTGCATAAAGCAAAAGAATAAAATTGGACCACTGTCTTACACCATACAATAATTAACTCAAGAGGTGACTGGCTGGCTCAGTATGGTACAGGATGTGACTCTTGATCTCAGGATTATAAGTTTAAGCCCCATTAACTCAAAATGGATTAAAAACCTAAATGTAAGACCTACAACCATAAAACTCCAAGAAAACATAGGTATGAAGCTTCTTGACATCAATCATGGTGATAATTTTTTGGATTTGATACCAAAAGCAAAAGCAGAGAAATCTAAAAGTCTTCTGCACAGCAAAAAAACACCATCAACAAAATGAAAAGGCAATCTACTGAATGGAAATAAATATTTGCAAATTATGTATCTGATAAGGGCTGAATATCCAAAATACATGAAGAACTCATACAACTCAATAGCAAAAAAACAAACAATCTGATAAAAAAATGGGTAGATGATTTGAATAGATAGACGCTTTCCCAAAGAAGATATACAGATGGCCAACAAGTACATGAAAAGGTGCTCAACATCACTAAATATCAGGGAACTGCAAATCAAAAAAACCATAATGAGGTATTATTTCACTCCTGCTAGAAAGGCTAGTATCAAAAAGTTAAGAAATAACGAGTATTGGTGAGGATGTGGAGAAAAGGGAACCCCTGTGCCTTGCTGGTGGGAATGCAGACCTGTGCAGCGACTCTGGAGAACAGTATGGAGGTTCCTCAAAATATTAAAAAAAAAAAAAAAAATAGAACTACCATATGATCCAGTAATTCAAACTTCTGGGTTTTTTCCAAAGAAAATGAAAATAACTCCAAAACCTATCAGCACCTCCATGTTCACTGAAACAATATTCACCATAGCTAAGATACAGAAACAACCTAAATGTCCATCAATGAGAGTGAATGGATAAAGAAAATGTGACACACACACAGGAATAGAATTCAGCCATTAAAAAAAAAAAGCGTCATTTGCAACAACATGGATAGACGTCAAGGGAATTATGCTAAGTGAATAAGTCAAGACAAAGACAAATACCTGTATGATCTTACTTATATGTGGAACCTTAAAAACAAAACCAAAAACAAAGCAAAACTGAACTCATAGATACACACAAGAGATTGGGAGTTGCCAGGGGTGAGGGTGGGGGATGAGCAAAATGGTCAAAGGGAGTCCAAAGGTACAAGCTTCCAGCTTTAAGATGAATTAGTCATGGGTACATAATGTACAGCATGGTGATTAACTATACTGTCTAGCTGAAAGTTGTTAAGAGTAGATCTTAAAAGACTATATCACAAGGAAAACAAATTTGCTAAATACATACGGTGATGATGTTGACTAAACTTGTGATTTTATTTATCATTATTATTTTAGAGAGAGAAAGTGCAAGTGGCAGGGGGGGATGGGGAGGGACGGGGAGAGTGAGTGAGTAAGAGACAGAGAGAGAGAAAGAGAGAAAGAATATCTTAAGCAGGCTCTACACTAAGTGAGAGCCCAAGATGGGGCTCTATCCCAGGACCCTGGGATCATGAACTAAGCTAAAATCAAGAGTCAGACACTCAACTCACTGAGCCACCCAGGTGCCCCTGTGATCATTTCTTAATACATACAGGTGTTGAATCATTGTGTTGAACACTTGGAACTAATCTAATGCATGTCAATTTATGTCTCAATTGAAAAAAAAAGAAATGCTTGAAGAGGAGATTTTGGCCTTTTTTTTTCTTTTAAAGAGAGACAGAGAGCACTAATGGAAGAGGGGTAGAGAAAGGGGGAGAGAGAATCTTAAGCAGGCTCCACCCAGGGCTTGATCTTACAATATGACCTGAGCCAAAATCAAGAGGTGGACACTTAACTGAGCCACCCAGGCACCCCACTGATCTAGTCTTGAAGTTATGGCAAGGATTTAGATATACAGAAAAAAAGGAGAGGTAAAACTATGACTTTTTCCTCTTAGAAAGTAAAAATTTTATTTCATTCTCATTATGCAAGAGAAATAGATCTTCAAGCATACCTGATTTCAGTTCTTCTTACTTCAGATGTCTCTGTAAACACTATAATTGGAATGGCTAAATTAAGGAAACAATTTTTGTAAGCTTCAAACGGACAGTCGCCAGCTACTTTGATCATCTCCAATGCAACCTAGATAAAAGAAGGTGATCTGATTATATAAAGAGCCTAAAACTTCATGACTTCCAATGTATCTATTTAATTTTCCAAAATTCTCCTCAAGCATTTTTCTGTAAAGAGTAAAAGCAGCTACTGGACTGAAATAACAAACTTCTTATAAATCTTTCTACTTTTAGCATGATCTTACGCTTTCAAAATTTCACCTGTTCTATATATGGTGAACAGAATCATTAAAAAATTCACTTGATCGTGTAATCTTCCTATTTTGGAAGACACCAGAACTCAAGAAATACAATAGTCTAAAATCATTTAATTAAGGGGCAGATAATTACATAGCTTCTAAGTATAACACTATAGTACATCATAACAAATAGGGCCACCCTAGAGATTCTGGGTTAAGGAAAGATTAAATGTTAAGAAATCTGAATCACTAACAGGATTGTACTTTTTCAAGGCTAAGAACTCAATATAATCAAAGAGCAACCATTAAAGCAGTTCATTTTATTCAAGAAAAATAGAGTACCTGCTTCATATGGAGGATATAAGAATGACTAAGAGGATTATTGTGTGTAAGAAAAATTATACTGTCTTGACAAAAGATAATTTAAAAAAAAAATTTAATGTTATTTTTGAGACAGAGACAGAGTACAAACAGGGGTGGGGCAGAGAGAGAGAGAGAGAGAGAGAGAGAGAGAGAGAGAGACAGAGAGGGAGACACAGAATCCAAAGCAGGCTCCAGGCTCCACACTGTCAGCACTGAGCCTGACACGGGGCTCCAACTCACTAACTGTGAGATCATGAGCTAAGCCAAAGATGGATGCTTAAACCAACTGAGCCACTTGGGTGCTACGACAAAGGTTAATTTTTATGTTAAATTGTTTGTATATATGTAAAGTTTCAAAATGTGATCTAATGTATTTTTAGAAATACATTTAGAAAGATTTAGAAATCTTAAAGTTTAAAATTATAAAATCAGTACGTATCACCCCTTCTCTACAATATGAGTGACTGGCTAGGGTGGTATAATGGGGAAGACAGGCTAAGAGGCAATGAAAAGGCAGCGTTTCCATTCAAAGAAGAATAAACTCACCAGGCCAGAAACTGCAGCAGTGGATGTTGCTATAGCAGGTATAATTTTACCAGCTATGCGCTTTGTTTTGAAACGGTCAGCTGGTTCAATGTTATACATTTTGGCACGAAGATTTGATGCAGCTGTGATGAAATCTATGTGTCCATTGTGATCATCATCTTTCTCAAATGAAAGCACCGCCATCTGAAGGTCACCTGATCATAACAACCAGAAAAATTAAAGTTTTGTAGTAACTTGTAAAGGCGTTTGTTATTTACTTATTTATTTTAATAGAGAGTGAGCATGACTGTGGGAGGGGCAGAGAAAGAGGGAGGGAGAGAATCCCAGGCTCCATGCTGTGAGCGAGGAATGATCCCATGAACCATGAGATCATGACCTGAGTCAAAACCAAACTTGGGTGCTAAACTGACTAAGCTACCGAGGCACCCTTTGTAAAGGTTTTATTAGGTAAAAGGCAATGCGGATTCACTACTCTTAAATATTCCTTTTTTACATTTTTAAATGACTGAAAACTACAAGAAAAATCTAGGAAATTAGTTATTGAAGGATATGGAAATGATGGCTTTGATATGACTAAATCAGAGAAGTTTCTATATTTAAAAATCCTTTCTAAGAAATAGGAAATAAGCCATGTACCACATCTGCTGTTGTTTATGAATAAAATAGGTAACATTGGGTATTGTTCAAAAATTGATTCCACAAATACTACTTTGAAACGTTTTGCCTCTGATAACTAAGAACAGGGTTAGTTAGGGGCTCCTGGGAGGCTCGGTTGGTTAAGCGTCTAACTCTAGATTTTGGCTCAGGTCATGATCTCACAGTTTCGTGAGTTTGAGCCCCATGTCAGGCTCTGCACTGACAGTGGAGGCTACCTGGGGTTCTCTCTCTCTGCCCCTCCTCTGCTCACGCTGTCTCTGTCTCTCTCAAAATAAATATGTATCTGAAATATTTCTAGATAAGTGGTTCTCAAAAATCATTTTACAGATAGGTATAGTTTGATATGTTATGAAATGAGAAAGAAATTTGAAGTTTCTTTAATTTTAGAATTTCAGAATTTTAATTTTTCTAGAATTTTAATTACTAAATTAACATATCTATATTTTATTTGTAAGATAAATAGGTGGCAAGCCTAGGTTGTTTTTGTCTGAATTTTACTGTCTGTGAACAAAAATCCTGAAAGTTGGAAACTACTGATTTATGTAAATACAAGATGGTGTATTTACATGAATAAATGACTCTAAAATACATGAGTGAATGACTCTGTGTTTAAGGAATAAAAGTTTGGTTTCCTTCTGTTTTAAACCATTTGGTAAGGATGTATTCAGGTCAGGTTATATTCCCTGTGTGTAACTATGAAGACTAAAAAGCCAAGAAGAAATCTCTCTATAGTTTTTTATCCTAGTGACTTAACTGGGTCTAAGTGTTAGTCTATAGAGGAACTCCACGCAGACCATGTGAAGCCTGCTTGGGATTCTCAATCCCTCTTTCTCTGCTGTTCTCTCACTTGTGTGCATGTGCTCTCTCTCAAAAATAAATAAACATTAAAAAAAGAAAAGAATTACACAGTACAACCTCAATAACTAAAACAGTCAGAACAACGACAAGAAAGCAGACTTACATTTCAGCAACTGAGGATAGGGCAATGGTGAAAAAAATAATGAATTTAGTCACAGTTAAAGATGAACAGTGACTTTCATATGATCATGAAATCAATTATCACTAATATAGTAGCTATTATTTAATCCCATAAGCGTTTGGGTGTTGAGTGTAATGAAAACAAAAATTCCCTCCAGTTCAAACCATTTTTATAAAGATTTCCCCTTACTTGTGGTGGCTTTATTAGATGAAATAGCCTTCTCTAGCTGGGAAATAGCATTCCTCTCATCTTCACTGCTAATAGGAACCTGCTCTGGTTTCCTTGCAGTCTCATCTGTTTGAACAACCTTTAAATACATGGACAAACATTATCATTAATGTTATTATATCCTATATCTAAGTTTGATTACCAGATCTGTTTTACTAAATAAGTCACATGGAGAAGATATTCCCTCTATATAGTTTAGTCACATTATTATTATGGTCCAATGTATTTTACACCTTCCATTAGTAATATTATGTTATTTATGTATTTGTTTTTTTATCTATCTCCTCACACTGACATGTAAACCTTTAGAACAGGGATTTTTATCTTGTTCACGGAGAGAACTTCAAAATATCTAATACAAATTTGCTTGTGTTAAAATATTCACTGAATAGCTTATAAAATCTGAGCTCATATGGATCCCTTTTAAAATTCCACAGTAAAATAAAGTTAATATTAATTAACAATCTGTGATTCTGACAAATCTAACCGAAACCAAATTGCATAATTCTAACTAGTGCAGAGCAGTTAATCTGTCTCTAAAGAAACCCATAAAATATATAAGATGGGCCTCCTTTAAATATTTATTGATTGCTGACAAGGAATTTCTTTCCTAAAGAATGTCCTAAAGAAGTTCTTTCCTAAAGAATTCTTCATATAGATGCATGCTCAGAGCAGCACTTCTAAGTCATTTATCTTCAAGAACTTACTTATTAGACATTCCACAAGGGCAGTCAAGTTCGTGTTTTCAAACCAAAAAACCATCTACATCATCACTAATTAAAAATACTATTTCTCTGTATTTTATACATTCAACGTGTGCCTTTACAGATTAAATATTGTTATTAAGTATTTAAGAAATATTAAAGAGTTAAGGAGGCAGAAACTTTTATTTGCCAGAGTGTCCAGTTGATATTTTTGGTATCTGTTAACTAGAAGTCCCAGACTCTGAAGCTTCAGTGTGAGTTGCTTCAAGTTGTGAAAAGCTCATTAATTCATGTTAAAACTGAAACTGTAGCTAAATTGCTTAGGAAAATTTATTACACCAAAACTCTGATATAGAAAGAAGCAACTGAAGCCACAAAACACTGAAGAGCTTTAAAGACCAGAAAAGTTATTGACAGAGTTCTTTTGGCTTCTGTCTAGCAGTTCTGTCCATTAGGAATATCGGCTAGGAACCTATTTCTTTAAAAAAAATTTTTTTTTAATTTGAATATAAGCGACACACAATGTCACATTACTTTCAGGTGTACAATACAGTGATTCAACTTTTCTATAAATTATGCTGTGCTCACAAGTGTTGCTACCATCTGTCACAACAGAATGCTATTATACTATCATGGACTATCTTTCCTATGCTGTAACTTTTATTTCTTTGACTTATTCATTCCATAACCAGAAACTTCTTTATATAGGCATTCTATTTGCCTCTCTGTTCTTTTATTCTTGATAAACTACAAGTCATGAACATTTCATTCAGCAAACCCATTTACTGTACAGAATCAAATAGCTCCAACTTTTCCTTTTCTCTAAAATAAAAATGAAGACTAGAAGACTGCACACACCATTTCTTACTTGAAATTTATGGGGAGGCAATCACGATTCCATTATTTTCCAATATTGCTAGAGAGTAAGAGGAACAAAGGACTGTTTTGTGGGTGACTTTTAGAGTGTATAAAAAAAGGCATACAATGGCCATGTGAAAAATACTTAGGCAGCTAAATGTCTTTTTTTCCAGCCACATTTAGTGTAATACATTACGTGGATTAACATGAAGTGGATCCTCAGCACTGTCTCAACATTCTATTACATCTTCTAGTAAGTGACTTTCACATTCCCCTGAACAATTATTTCACACCTTTTTTCTTCTGCTCAAACTTCCTTAAACAACTTCTCCTTATCTGGAGCTATTAACTGTGTTTCTTTTTTCAACTAAGAAAATAAACAATCTTTTTTTTCTCTTATGATCTAATTCCAGTCCCTTTCAAATCCTGTCAGGACTACTACAAAATATACCTTATCGTAATTTACCTTGTTGCTGACTACTTCATTCAAACCACCATCATCTTTTGCCTATATCCTCCTAATAGCTTTTCATGCTTCCGTTCTCATGTCCCACATAATCATTCTTAACACAACAGCCAGAGTCAGCCTTTTAAATATGAGCCAGATTGTGTCCTCTGTTTAAAATCCTCCACTAGCTTATCTCCTAATAAATTACAAAGTATTTATCATAACCCCAAGGATCTTTCCTATCTCACTGTCTACCATTCTTCTTGAATATTCTCCTTCAGAAAAATCCTGGCCTTCAAATCTTTCAAGGCCTTTCTCTGAACTTGTTCCTGCTTGTGTGCGTTATTCTTTCACCACATAATACCACGGCTCACTCCACTGCTTCTTCAAGTTTCTGCCCAAATATTACTGTATCACAGAAGCTTTCCCCTTTTATCCCACAGAAAATGACACCAGTTCCATCATCCTTTATTTCTTTGTTTTAGTTTTGGTTCTTAGCACTAAGCCCTATAGTAATATTATAGTATAGTCTGTCTCTGGTCCATTAGACACTATAACTTCCACAACAGGAAGAATTTTGTTTTGTTTACTAAGGGATTTTCCAGGTTGACAATGGGACTTGACACTAGTAAAATTTCAGTAACTATTTGCTGAGTGAATAAATTTCTAAACATACCTTGTTGGAAGGTTTGAATTCTTGAATCTTTACTTCAGAAAGAATATTCAAGAGGGCATCTGCTGATAAGTCCTGTTTTTTTAAAAAATAATTTTATCAACAAACATTTTAAAAAATCCTGAATTCTAAAACATTCTGGACTAACAAGGTCCTTTATCACACTAAAATATTTGAATAAATTATCATCTGACTATTTAGACCACATCCATTTGTGACATTTACCTTTATTCTCTAGAAATATCATCCATAAAGGCTGAGGGGGGGGGCAGTAGTGGTATGTGTGAAAAATTACTATGTGTCAACAAACCTGAAATCTTAGTTCTTTCCATTCATTTTTAAAAAGGTAATTTTAGGACTGGTTGTATCAGACTGAGTGTTCTGAGATCAGAGACTATCTCACCATTGTTTTATAAAGTTCCCTGCACAAAGTTAGACTCAATAAATGTGGACTCAAGAAAAGAAATAAATGAATGGAATTCATACCTTTGGAAGCAGAAAAATATTTAAATGGTTCAAGATGAATGTAGGTGATGCAATTAGCTAGTAGGTCACCTAATTTTTACCTGGTTTTGTATCACCTGCTAGAGCTTGAAGGTAATCTTACCTCTTCTGTAAATGGAATGCAATAGACTGCAGCATACAGTTTTGCAGCATTCAGAAGAAAACTGAAGTGCCTTTTGAAATAAAAAAATAAAGCAAAAAAGCAAAAAGTATGAATGCACAGTTTTAAAGATGTTTAATTCATCAAAAACTATAGCCTTTTGAAATGTGGAAGAAAATAATCATAGAACTTTTGTTACAGGAATATTTAAGTTAGGCAATGAAGTCCTAGTCTAGACCAAAGCATTTCAGAAGCTGTAAGAAATATTAGATATTTATCCTCATAAGTAGTAATATTCAGGAAAGGAGTGGCAAAAAGTAGAAAAATTAGACTAGTGAAAAAAAATTCATTTAATTCACAAAAAATTAGAAATTTGGTTTTAAAGAGCATACACTAAGTTCAGATTAAGCAGATGAGTTTGTTTAAAAACAAAAATATGTTTTACAGAGAAGCAGTCAGGATAAAGTGACTAAAAGCCCAACATAAGCACCAGATGAAAAAATTAAATGGAGTTAAAAGGAAGGTTAACAAGCTCAAAGTTTAACATGTAACTGAAGTTTTTAAAATACTGGCTTCATATAATAGGAAAATATTTGTTGTCATTTCTTGTTTTTTTTCTTATGGAAAAAAAAGAGAGGTAGCACTCAGGGTCCACTTTAGAGAAGATAAAAATAATGAAGTTATTTTACCATGTAAATAAACAGATTCACATATGTGTGAGAAGGATTGTGGCTGGCTTTGTTGGACAGACTAACATGCTAATTCTTAGATCAACAGGGATGCACTAATTTAACACTTAGAGACCCTGAGGTTTTCACCCTGCCATGTAAACCTATACACAGTCAAGAAATTTACAATGAAGGATGGATATAAAACTAGATATAAATACTTACAAAGGTTCATTTAAATCAAACTTTATTGGAGATGGAGGCCTCTTTGGTGACTGCCAAAACAAGCCTAAAAAAAGGACAAAATATTATTTTCATTGTATATATCCAGTAATAAATTATATTAATCATTCTTCTCAACACTTGGTTACACTTACTGCCATCTTTTAATCGTGTGTCTAGAGGAAAGCAGTGAAGAAGCTGAAGAGCCTAAAGAAAAAAATAAAATAAAATCATTACTTAATCTGAGTTAAAAAAAAAAAATCTAAATGCATAAAAAGAGATACAGTGAAGTTTCCAGCCACTCTTATACTCCCTCTGTCCATTCTCCTGTTACTGCCTCCTATACCTGGAATAACTTCTATTGCTACTTTTTATCAACACTTATAGTTTCTTTATTTGCATCCGCAGCAAACATGAAAATACATTTTTTTTTTTAAGTAGGCTTCATGCACGTGCAAAGCCCAACTTGGGACTTTAATTCATGACCCTGACATCAAGACTTGAGCAAAGACAAGAGTCTGACGCTTAATTGACTGAACTACCCAGGTACCTGTAATTTATCACTTTTTACACAAAATGTGGCATATTTTACATACCATTCTGCTCTTTTCAAATAGCTAATTCTTAAAACAAAAATGAAACTGGTAAAAATATACAGTATTTTGTATTTAGAAGTGATAAATGATGTTCGAGATTTGCTTCAAAACTATCAGGGATGGTATATAGATGAAAGGAGAACATCTACAAGTTGATACAAAATTAACAAAACTTGGTAAACCTGGGTGACAGACTTATGGAGATTACATGGGGATTACATTTTATGTATAAGATTACAGACTTATACTAATTTTTCTACTTCTACAGTTGAATTTTTCTGTGAAAAAGATTTTAAAAGTATAAAAGATAAGGACTTAAAAGAGTTCTTCAGATTTTGAGATAAGAGATCACTGATAATAATGGTAAAAATAATTTGAATAGAAGTGGGGAAAGAAGACACATTAACACAACAGTAATTACAAGACCACTTTTCTTAGCAGAGCAAAGAAGGAAGCAAAAAGCAAGGATAAGTCTAATCAAAAGACTTTTTAAAAAAGATGAACTTACTTTATATTCTAATAGGTTAAGAGCCTGAAGAGAGGAAGAGACTCAGGAGAGAGTGCAGGACACATTCTACAAGTGCAAGTAATAGGGGATAGGAATAACAGCTAATATTTAGTGAGCATTTCTGGGCTAGGTTCTACTCAAAACACTTGGCATGTATTAACCCATTTGATCCTCATACTATAATTTAATTATATAACAATATTCCCATTTTGCAAATGAGGAAACAGACACAAAAGAGATATAAAATGTGATTTTGAATATTGGTGGGAAAGGCCAAATTTAACACAATTTCTTTTTTTAAATTTTTTTAACGTTTTTAAAAATTTATTTCTGAGAGAGAGAGAGACAGTGTGAGCAGGGGAAGAGTCAGAGAGAGAGGGAGACACAGAATCTGAAATAGGATCCAGGCTATGAGCTAGCTGTCAGCACAGAGCCCGACATGGGGCTTGAACCTACAAACCGTGAGATCATGACCTGAGTCAAAGTCGGACGCCCAACCGACTGAGCCACCCAGGTGCCCCTACACAATTTCTGACTGAATCTATTTTCTCAATTTTTTGCTTTATTGTGAACAATAAAATTCTTTTACACTACTGGTGAAATGTATGCCTTACTCTCTAGAAGGGACCCATTATTTGAAACCCAATACTGCACAGAGAAGGATAAGGATCAGTTATATGTGTAACCAATGGATGGAGTTTCAATGTATTCTTTTAACACTCAAAGAGAAATTAGTTCTGAGCCCTGCACTTGTTTGCACTTAACTTACTACTTATTTTTGAAAAAGCTCCTGAAAGAAAGAGTAGATGTTTTGGTCCAAAGAAATTAATTCAGTAGCAATTAAATGAACCAAGGTCATAACTCTTCTCAATGTTTTATAATGCATACCTACCTTATGGTTAAAATATTTTTCAAACTTTAATCTTGCTAATTCTACACACTGGGACCAATTTCTAGGTCTTCTGCTAAGTAACTTAATAACTTGAAAACAGCCTTCTAAACTGTGTCCAGCTTGTATCTTCTAGAATGAGAGGGAAAAAAAAAAAGGCAAAATAAGTACATCTCCAAGTAAACACACATACACACCCATTTCTGGGAAGTATTAGCCCAAGTTTGAAGTATCAGCCATGTGACTTATGATTTTAAGTTTTTCACCGTGAGCTCCTTGTCCCTGCCTTTTTTTCTCCATCTTTCTCTCCTTTTTTGGAGGGGGAATGGGAAAAGACATTACATGAAATTTCAACTGTAAAGTTTCTTATCTGACAAGTTAACCTCATTTCCTGCTACCTGTAAATTATTAGTACTACATATGTACTTAACATAAGAAGTGCTACAAGTAATATTTTACACTAAAAAGTTGGTTTGTTTAGTGTCGGAATAAAGAAAAGTAAGAAAATACCTTTATAAGTTGGCCTCATCATGAGAGTATTAACACTACCATCTATTCATAAAATTTTCAATAGGGCTTACCTTGGGTTTTTTCCAGTTTAACAAATTGTTTTATTATACAAAGCTATCATTATGACATCTTTCTTAGGTTGAATCATATGAATTGCTGTTCTGTGGGTCAAGCATGGTCAAATAATGGCAATTCCACAGAGTTCATACAAACTACAAAAAGAGGTCATTTGTGACTTGCTAATGTCAAGATTCCTCATGCACTTATGTACAATAATGATGTTATAATCTTTCTTTCAAGAGGCAAAATAAACTATTTGTAGGCAATATGCAAATAAGATTACACTGAGACAGTGTTGAGATTATATTAAAATGTATTTTTACCTGTAAAACTTCTTCTGCAGATAGATAGGTTTGCCAAAATTTGTTAAATAATGAAGGCTTATGGGAAAAGGAACTTTCAAACTGTAAGGGGGAAAAAAAGAAAAGTTAAATATTGGATATATCTTCTTTTCACTTCAAAGAAAAATTTCTTGGAAAAAAAAAGATCTTTATCACCTTATCTCTTGCCCACTGTATGGTGTGTTCAATAGCAGCTGGAAAGGACTTTAGAGTACAAAATGGTATTTCCTCTTCTGGGGGATCCCGCTAATTTATAAATATGACAACAGATAAGAAAGGCAACAACAATTTTTATTGATTAAATTTACTTGAGTATTTTAAGACCATTAAAAATTAAAAAGAAATAATAAAATGAATCCAACATTCTCATACCTTCTTTCTCCTAAGCAGTAGGAGGAAAAGTGGATTCTTTTGACACTTAACTCATTTGTTAATAGCAACATAACAAAAAGAATGAATCTATTATAACTTAATATCTGTGTACTTATTTGGTGCCAAGTAATACTACCTACAGGCAGACTCCCACATATAATTTTTTTCTCCAAGAATCAAGGTGACATTGAAAACTTTACAATATTCCCTACTTTAAAAAGTAATTCAAGAATTCCCAAAAACGGTGCTCAGCATACCATGTGTTTCTTTCTCCATGGAGAAAAAAATTTAGGAGCAGGGATCTTATGTCCTTGATGCTTGGTATAGCTCTTACAGAAAGTATGTATTAAACAAACAGCTATAAAAAGAATTAAATCTTGCCATTTGCAACAACATGGATGAAGCTACAGAGTACTATGCTAAGTGAAATAAGTCAGAGAAAGACAAATACTGTAGGATTTCAATCATACATGGGATTTAAGAAATAAGACAAACAAGCAAAGGAGAAAAAGAAACAGATTCTTAACTATAGAGAACAAACTGATGGTTACGGGGTGAGGGGTGGGGATGGGTTGGAATGGGTGATATAGGTGATGGGGATTAAAGAGTGAACTTGTGATGAGCACTGTATGGAATTTTTCAATCACTATATTGTACACTGGAAATGAATATTACACTGTATGACAACTAACTGAAATTTAAACAAAAAAAATTTAAAAATAAAAATTAAAAAATACTTTCAGTAAAAAAAAGAAATGCCAAATGCCTATATTATCTCATATAAAAATACCACTGAAAAAATACCCACATTCTATTACTGGGTATATTTGGTTTAACCACTGTAAAATGACTCATTGGTCTCTTAGAGATTTATATTTTAGTTTGTTGATCTATGAAATATCATAAAATGTTTTATAAACCAAAGAGGGAAGCCAAAAGAGAAATCTGTTTTTTCTGGGTATTAAGTCAGAGAATATAGGAAAAGACTTGGGGAAAATGTGGTAGAATGACAGAGTCAAGGGAACTTTTAGAATTCTCTTGACTTTTCTACTTTGAAACTCTTCCAATATGACTTCAGCATATCATGATTTTCTCCAACTAATTTCCTTCAAATTAACTTCTAAAGTTTGTCTACTATAATGTTTTTACTACATAAACTTCTGATTTCATGAGAGTAAATGGGAAAGCAAATTTTATAAATATTTAATAATTTTACTAAGCAAACATACCTATTAAATAAAGTGATATTTACACTTGTAAAAAATTTTTTTTCTTTCCATTTTACAACCTGTGTTGATATTTTTAAAAATCCTAAAGCCTAAATTATTTCCTAGGCCAGGGATTTTCAATTTTGGCAGTGTACCAAAATCACTTGCAGAAGTTAAAAAAAGTTACATCTCTATGTCTATGTATCTCTGTCTCTATCTCTATACATGTACTGGTTCTTCCTGTGGAGCAACTGAGTCTTCGTTTAAGATTTTGGGCAGGCCGCCAGTTCAAAGTTCAATTTGTGAGAAAAGCCATCAACCACTTCTGAGAAATAAAAGTAAACATAAGAGTAAGACAGTGGAAAGACAAGAAACAAATATTTGAAAATTTAAAAAGGTTAAGTTCAGCTCTATTTTAAAAAATGCATACGCACATATGCATGGAAATTATTGACAGATCGATTAATGGATAGGTTAGGGAAGCTCAATCAAATCTGCTGACTAATGAGAAAAAGATGAGATAAAAATTATGAGATACAAAGAAGAGACATTTATTGCAAAATTGGTTCACTTACGTGACTATTATAGGATTCAGTTAAATGAGGTACAATAACTTCAGTGTGTCCCTTAGTGCCCATTGTTCCAGAATCTAAGAGGGGTCGTAGATTTGCTAAGCAACGGCTATTTGAAAAGAGAATAGGTAATGAACACTTAAGTGAGAAGTAACAACGTAAGTAGAGGCTATCTTACCACTTTCTGTTGGTCGTTTCACACATTGATCACTTCTTGAATGTATTATCTTAGGAAACAGATACATTACCACCAAACAACGTATTTATCATTTCCATCCCCCTCCTCCCACAAATTCTGTTGTCCAATCAGTAATTTTTGTTTCTTTTTCCTCCTCCTCCTAATACTAGATTTTGGGCTTCAACTTTTTTTTACTCTAGGTTAACTCTTTGCTAATGTATTGCCCTTTCTTGTCTGTATCTTCTTTGGTTATTTTCAAACTGTAAGTTCTGTCTTACTATATCTTCTCAATGTTCTCTTTATCCCAAACAATATTAACCTTTTTTTAAACTTATAGTACCTATTTTCTACACACTTTAATTTCTTAGTTTTTATTCTTCCTTCCTAGGTCCAAGACAATAAACTTCTAACTACACTCTAGACTGGCAAATTTTCCTCTGTTTAGTAAATCTGTTCAACTAAAACCCTAACATTATATAAAGTTATATAAAGATATAAGAAAAATTATGTAAGGTGTACACATGATATTTATTCATCTACTTATTTAACAACTATTTACTGAATGACATCATGTGTTGAGCACTGAGGATACAGTGATGGGAAAATAAATGGTCCCTTAATAAATGATTCAGTGAGGAAACAAATATTAATTAAATAAGTATATCAATAAAAATAAACACTATAAGGGAAAAAACCAAATGCTGTAAAGGATTACTGTAGGGGGATCTACAGAATTTAGTCATTAAAGAAAATCTGTTTGAATAAAGACAGTTAAGCCTAAAACTGAAATGATGTGAAAATGAACTAAAGTACTTTGGTAAATTTGGAGTCAGGAGTTTTAGAGCCCAATAAACAATTTCCTGAGTCTGAAGGAGAGTATGTACAAGTCTCTCGAGTGAAAAAGCATTGGATGCCCTAGAAAAACTCAAGGAAGAAATGTGTAGCTGGAAGAAGGGGAGCCAGCAAAGAATAGGTAAATTTTAAGCTGGAGTGGTAGACAAACAGCAGGCACTCTATAAACAACATTTAGGCCATGTTAAAGATTTTGAATTTTATCCTAGGTATAATGGGAAATCATAAAAAGGATTTGGATTCGAGGAAAACTAAAATAGAAATGTAAAGAATAATCAGAAAATTGGATAACTTTTCAAAATCTGGATGTGGAAAAGAAGTGAAACAAAAGACAATTTTTATGAATCTGAATTTCAAGAACATACCTGTCTACATATCTCCTGGCTTCCACATTATCTAATGCTGTAATAATTATATCTTGTTTAGTATAGAACTCATCATTGTAAATAGCCTCTGTGGCTGGACATACTTTGTTCAAGTGTGCATCTATCTTTAATTGAGGATTTATTTTCAAGGTTGTGTCAGCAGCAGTATAGCTTTTAGGTTTCTAAACAAATAACAAATAAAAACAGAAGAAATAAATATTAAACAGAAAAGCTACGCCATGACAGAACTTACATTTTTTACATGAGAGTAAAGTAATGAGATCAACTTTTCATTTGTAGTTTGTGGAAATTACAGTCATTGTAGTCACATTATATTTAATAATCTATATTAAATGTAATTAACATATTATTAATGGACAGCTAAACAATTTCTATCTTATAGCTATTATCTTTACAGTTCTTAAAATATCAGTTACTAAAAGTACATTTCCTCTGAGTATAAAGATTTAAACTGCTTAAGAGCCTAGAAAAAATAAGAACAATGAATTCACTAAAATATTAGAAATCTTTCCTAACTCTGCAGAAAATGAGCTCTCAGTGGTATGGGAAGTTAACACATTCATACCAAAATCATAAAAATACTACTATTTCTGGATGGAAATATTAAAGAAATTATATATATATCAGTTCTGTCAAAGAGTCCCCCTGACATGTTTTTACTTCTCAGTGCTGTTAAGCATATAGGGAAATTGCAAAGTTTGTCAGAATTCAGTAAAATAAGAATAAATAGGCCTTATTTATAGTTTTTCTGTAAGTAAAATGCACAGAATAAATAATTTTGTGACATGTATTTTGTTCCGGATAGACCTTGTTAATTTTTTTTTTTTTTTGGTATTTTGATAGGTAAGGCAATTAGGTTAACTATGCCACCTGTTTTAGTTATTACTTTTCTGTTCATGACATTCCTTAGTTTACCAAGATTATAATGGGCTGTTGAACAATAAATTGCAAAAACATTTCTAAAGTAATAGCAAATATGCTTGACTGACTAAAGCATTTCTTTTCTTGACTTATACATTTTGATATCTATAAAAAAGACTGGAAACCAGGAGTATTTTATAATAAGGACGTTAATTAAATAGTCAAGCAAGATCAAAGAGCAAAAAATTCTAAGTGCTAACTTTACCTATTTGGTAATAAAGGCTCCTCTTCCCTCCAAAAAAGAATGCCAAATGTGTGATCTATTAAAACTTTAAATTAGAAAATCTGTCTCTGCATTCTTACTTTCTAATATTAAATATGTAGATACACCTTGATTATAAAATGAAAAAACTACTGCCCATGATTTATGATTTAGATCTTATATCCAAAATTAATGTAAAACCCAATTTTTTCATTAAAAAATAATTTTATATTTTTCCCAAATGTTATTCCCATTGTTTGATAATTTGAAAAATTCTAGTAAAATAAAAACACATTAGGTTTGCTCAAGTGCCATTTTCAATTTATTAAAAAAACCTCTCTTCTTTTTTGTGGAACACAACAGATGATTTAAATCTAAAACAGTAGCAACAAACCTGTATGTGGTGAGGACGAAACAGGAACTGTCTATTCAAGTTGGATTTTTCTATCAAGTCAGGATCTGTAACTGTAACCTAATATCAAGAAGAGAAAAAACTGAAATTATGTAAGAGAAAAATTTTAATTGATTTTGATTTTCTCAGAAAGACTAAAACAATTTCTCCAAATTATGCTAAATTATTTTAGCTAGTAGAAGTTTTAAGAATACAAATACTCCAATGGTTACTAACATTTAATGTTTTTATGCTATCTTTAACTGTAGTTAATGTTTAGCACAGGAACATGTTAAATAAGCTGAAACTGATGGCAATTCGTGTTCAAACATTTTTTCTAATTATTGATAACAAAACAGAGGCTAAAACATCACCATTACATTTTAGAAACATGTAATGGATTAGCCATAGAGGAGTTAGTTAAACATACTTGTTTTCAACTGCAACACATTTGGAAAGGAATGCTTACGTGTTCCAATTTGAAAAGAACTCTTGCTAAAACAGAGGTCTACAAATTACAGCACAGGCAGGCTGCCTATTTTTGTAAATAAATTTTGGTAGGAATACTGTCATGCATTTGTTTGAAGTATTGTCTTTGGCTGTTTTCATGCTATAATTGCAGAGCTGAGTAGCTGTGACAGAGACCCTTGGTTCACAAGTCTAAAACAGCTGCAATCTGGTCCTTTAAGAAAAAGTTTGCGGACATTTCAAGGGATAAGTTAAAAAAAAAAAGCAACTCAGAAGATAATCAGAAAAGAATTCATAATGCATTTGTCACTTAAGTTAGCACTATACAAGATCTGACTAGGAGCAGTATTTCTCCAGTGTGTTTGAGAGGTTCACAAACACATTCACTTTCTTTTAGCTGGTATTTCCCAAATATGTGGTTTTTGAGGGGTTGTTTTCAACATTTCTATATGTGTTAAAGGTCTGTCTTTTTAAAGTTTATTTATTTTGAGAGTGTGTGTGCAGGCATACACAAGTGGGGGGAGGAGCGAGATGGGGGGTACAGAGGATCCAAAGCCAGCTCTGCCCTGACAACAAAGAGCCCCACGTGGGCTTGAACTCATGAACCATGAGATCATGCCCTGAGCAGAAGTCAGATATAGTAAGATGCTCAACCAACTGAGCCACCCATGTGTCCCACGGTATCTCTTTTAAATAAGAAAAAAGGCACCAAAAAGAAAATGTCTTTTAACAGTAAGTTTAGTCCATATCTAATTATTATTACTAATACAAGTCTTTTTATTATTACTAATACAAGTCTTTTTTTCCTACCTCCCCACCCCACTTTTTATCCATTCTCATTTTTTTTTTGTCTTAAGTTTTCTTAATTCCAATCCCCCTCATTCCTCACTGAATTGGTTTAGAAGTTAAACATCTGTTTTTATTTGGTTACACACCAAATTTTCACATGCACATGTGACTTAAGATCTAAAATTAATGACAATCTCTATCTTCCTCCTGAACAATCAGAGGATATTTAGTCTCTCTTCTACATTCCTTATCAATGGATAGTATTTTACTTATTTTTTAATCATCCTATCCCCAAAGTTCATATTTTAATTAAAGATTAAAAAAACCCCAATGCTTATTTAAATCTAAGAAGGCTGATAAATGCCTCCTGCTATCTAATAGTTCTTTCAATGAGAACCAATTAAGTGATAATCTTTCACCATTTCACTTGTCAGTTATCTTTACTTCTCTTGAAAGATAATTTAGCTGGGGATAGAAACCTAGGTTGATTTTCCCTTATATTATGAAGATAACTTTCCTATCTTCAGGTGTACATTTATTGCTGATGAAAAATCTATTAGTTAATCTTTTTATTTTTACCTTTGATTTGTTGACTAGTTTACCTTTTCAATCTCAACACACCTGTTTCTAACTCTGGAAACTTTTGTCATTGTCCTTGGAATATATTGCTTCTTCATTATCTTTACTTTCTCTGAAAATTCCACTATACTTATATTGGACCATACAAATCCATCTTCTTTCATTAAAAAAAAAAAAGGTATCTTTCTGCACTACATTCTGGGTATTTATCTTCTTTCATCAATTCTCACTTCAGCTATATATGAATTTTAAGTTCACTTGACTATACAGAAATTCTTATGTGGCTTTTTGTAAAACTTGTAGTGCTTTCCCCCTCTCACGTTTCTATTTCTCTCTCTCTCTTTTCTAACGTTTGGTCATTTCAAACTTTAAAGTTTGTTTTTTCTATTATTATTATATTTTTAATTCATTGTTTTAGAGAGAGAGAGAATCTCAATCTCCACACTGTCAGCACAGAGCCTAACACAGGACCTGAACTCACAAACTGTGTGTTCATGATCTGAGCTAAAATCAAGAGCTGGATGCTTGACTGACTGAGCCACCTAGGCACCCCTGTTTGTTCTATTATTTGTAGCACTCCTGATACCTATAGTTCTTAGCTAATCTTCTATTTTCATTGGCTGATTATTCTTCCAAGTGGTACCTTTTTTCTAGTGGATTTTCATTTTTTATTGTGAATTGGCTTGAATGGATGTTTAATTCTCTGCATAGTTCTATGTACTCTCAGTGTTAAAGTATCACCATGATGCAGTTTTGCATTCATTTTAGTGAGAGTTCGGGAGATTTCAATGGTCTTATTTGTTATATTTATCTCTCTGCTTAAAGTTTTTTCTTTTAATCTTCTTAAAAAAATAAATATCTATTTGTGTTGAGAGAGAAAGTGTGCGTGCACGAGCAGGGGAGCAACAGAGAGGGAAAGAAAGAATCCCAAGGAGGCTCAGCACAGAGCCCAATGCAAGCATTGATCTCATGAACCATGACATCATAACCTGAGCCAAAATCAAGAGTCAGATGCTTAACTGACTGAGCCATGCAGGCACACCTCAACTTGAATAGATTTTTATATAATGTTGGGATTCCACATCCCAGTGTGGTATGTGCTTTTAGTTAACATTTTCTCACAAGTTACTTCTCTTTCTATTTAAAGTTTTGGACATATCCAAGATAGAAATACTTATGAATAATCACAGGTTTAGCTCAGGAATTAATTTGTCTCTTGGTTCCTGGGGACTTCTCTTTCCTTCTTCCTAGTTTGGTTACATCTATAAACACTCTTTGTTATCTAAAGTCAGTAGGTTTGTGACTACAATTCTTTTCCTGACTTTTATATGTTGATATGCACTATGCATTACAAATTTCCAAGAAGTTAAGGTATTCAGGTGATTCCAAACTTAGGTAACTAAGATTTTTTTTTTTAAGAAATCTCTTTTAAAGAATAGTGGTTTGTGAAACACAATTTAGGAAATGCTAAGCAGGAATAATATTATATGTAAAAACATCTGTCTATAATTGTGATAGTAATAAATATCTTTTTTAAATGAAATATTAAGCTAGGCTTTATAAATTATAAAATGTGAACTAGTATATAAATTTTAGTCATTTTGATCAGTCTATGAAATCACTACTCTGGAAGCAAGTTTATTATCTTAAAGGCAAAACAAAATCAGTGACATATATTCTTATTTAAATATAAGACACGGTTACCCAATTAACTCACATTTAACATCTTAAGAATTTAAATTGAACACCAAAGTTTTTTATTATTCCCTCTCCTTTTGATACTCACTAATTGAAACTATCCCTGAGAACTCTGCCACTTTCTAACGTTAGCTTCTCCTATCTTAAAGATTTATCTAATAACGAGTAAGAAATACTAATAGAAATAATAACAATTCTAATGTGCTTTATGGTTTGCAGAGCCCTTTCACATTTGATCTTTACAATTACATAATGAGCTAGGAAGTAGATATCAGTTTCATATCATTTCTTTCATAGAGAAAGAAATTGAAGAACAGAGCATTAGAAGTTGCCACAAAGTCACAGAACTATGAAAAGTGGTCAGACCAGAATCAGAATCTTCCAATTTCTAGCTTAATTTTTTCTTCTCAGAAATCAGTATTTTAGCTCTACGCAGTCAAAACATTTCAAAAATGGGCAGCAAAAGAAATATAAAATTTTAACTCTCAAGGATTTATATCTTTTTGTTTAAATGTCTATTTCTGAGAGAGAGTGGGGGAGGGGCAGAGACAGAGGGAGACAGAGGATCTGAAGTAGACTCTGAGCTGACAGCAGAGAGCCTGATGCAGGACCAAACTCAAGAACCATGAGATTATGACACAAGCCAAAGTTGGACACTTAACTGACTGAGCAACCCAGGCGCCCCTCAAGGCTTTATGTCTTACCATTCCTTTTTCTTTGCCCGTACCAACACCAAGTAAAGCAAAATTTTTTAACATTTCACAGCCTATGGCTCCACATCCTACCTAAGGAGAAGAAAAATGAAATAGAATATCAGATTAAATAAAATCAAAACTAACTAAAGGGAAATTTCATCTTAAACTTATTTCAAATGACAATTTATAATATATACATACTTTTTTCTTTCATAGTTTATTGTCATGTTGGATTCCATATAACACCCAGTGCTCATCCTCACTAGTGCCCTCCTCCATGCCCATCACCCCTGTTCCCCTCTCCCCCCCATCAGCCCTCAGTTTGTTCTCAGTATTCAAGAGTCTCTCATGGTTTGCCTCCCTCCCTCTCCCCAACTATTTTTCCCCTTCTTCTCCCCCATGGTCCTCCGTTAAGTTTCTCCTAATCCTTCTGTAAGTGGAAGCAATATATATACATACTTTTAAAAATAACTTGAACATCTGTAACTCATTTTACTTTCAAATACTTAACTAATTTATGATACAAATTTTAACTGTTACAGGTAAAAATATATGTAAATCAAGTAAGGAAAAGCATAACATTTACAATTCCTTTAAACAGAAGACATTCCAACAAAAGTCAACAATTGAGCTCATTATTTATATGAGACAGAAACAAACACCACAAAATGTCAGTGCAGCATTTTAATGAAAAAGATTTCTTATTTATAGATAACTGTCAAAACTCATTTGATGGAGATACCTATTCTAAGACATTCTATATGTATGTAAAAGCTTAGCAATAGCTGCTGATATTGAAAACATTTTAAAAAACTATTACTAAAAATTAGAAGTATTTTTAGAACTGACTAAAATATAATAATTAAAAAAGCCATAAATGGCAAGAAAACGAGGTGTTTTTTTTTTGTATTGGGGAGAGATATCCTGCCAATGCACTAAGATATTTAAGAAAGACAGATTTTACCTACATTTTCTTTCATGTGGTAAGGAAAAATTTTAAAAATGGAAAAATACCCCAAACATAATTTTTAATGTATTTCTAGAAAATCATTTCAAACTATCATACTCATATTTTAATTTTAAATGTATTGTTTTTATACTAGGGACTGGCAAATATTTTTTGTAAAGGGCCAGATAGTAAATATTTTCTGTTCTGTAGGCTGTATAGTATAAAAGCCATAGGTAATACCTAAATGAATGGGCTTGGCTGTGTTCCAATGAAACTTTACTTGCAAAAATAGGCAGCAGCAATACACTGGATTTTCTTTAGACCATACAAATCTTTCACCTTTTACAAAGATAGGCAGCAAGATTTGGCCTGTGGGCCATACTTGGCAAACTCCTGTCTTAAATTTTTACTGAATGTCTACTCTGTTAGGAATTGTACTCATACAGACTCAAATTTGCTTTAATAAATTAATTTGATGATATGCAATAACAATTTGACTGTACTACTTACTCTCATTATTATTTATACTTACCAAGAAGATATTCAACTTTTGTAGCTTCTGACACAAAGTGTCTCCAATGCAAGCTCGTAGGGCATCATATCTATCTCCTCTGTAGAAAATAACACATATCAAAAATGAGAAAGGCATAAAAACATCATTTAGTTTCACTATTGTTAATACCAGTTTAATGAACTTTAAATAGAACATTCAAGAGTTCCTGCCAATCTAAAGGAAAATAGTCTTATTTCAAAGAGAAAAAAAATCCATTAAGCAATCAGTTTTTTCTTTTTCCATTTGATTTAATATCCTATGTCCAAATGACTGATGTAAAGCTGACTTTAGTTTACCCAGAAAAGACAGTTTTCCAAGGTAGGAATTTTTAATAACGGTTCCTAGAGAAGCTTACAGAGGGGCTTTGGAGTTGTTAACACATTTAAATTGAAGGCAGAGCTTTGGATTATGTGAAGTTGAGGGAGAATGAATCCATAAGCTTTTACCAGACTCTCAGAGATTTGTGACTCAAAAAGAACAACTGATGTAAATATAAAAGTTGCAGACAGCAACTGTTTTCATCTAAAATCAGAATGGTATTTTGTTTTGTTTTGAAATCATTTAGTTATCTATTTTGAGAGAGAGCATGCATGCACACATGAGGAAGCAGGAGGGAACAGAGAGAGAGAGAGAGATAGGCCTGTCAACTCGGGGCCTGACACAGGGCTCGACCTCAACAACCATGAGATAATGATCTGAGCCAAAATTAAGAGTTGGACACTAAACTGACTAAGCCATCCAGATGCTCCCAGAATGGTGTTCTGAATGCTAACTATTATCATGGTATACAATTTAAAATATTATATTCATTATTTATAAAATGGTAAAGAGATATTGCATTATTTTGACATTTAAAATAATCTCTAAGTAGAGGAAAAAATGACTGCAGAAGTCAGTAAATGACAAGAAAAAACATCTAAAACAAATGCATATTTGAGCACAAGCCCTTTTAATCTAGTTGCCTCTTACAAACATTCAACTAAGAAAGAAGAAAGAAAGGGGCACCTGGGTGGCCCAGTTGGTTAAGTGTCTGACTCTTGGCTTTGGCTCCAGTCATACTCTCGCTATTCGAGAGCTCGAACCCTGCTTTGGGCTCTCTCCCTTCCCCTCTCTCTGTCCCTCCCTGGCTCATGCACTCTCTTTCTCAGAATAAATAAACATAAAAGGAAAAAAAGAAAAAGAATAAATAAAGAAAAAATTCAGAATTACCGTGGGAGAAATTCTTCACGTTCAGGTTTGTCTAGGAATTCGACAATATCTGCTGCTTCAATGTATAACTTTAAAGTAGAAGATAAAAACATAAATTACTATGTATAAACCTTAAATTGCTAGAAAAACTGGTTTTCTCTTCCATAGTTATTTAAGTCATTAAGGAAAACAATGATAAAAAAAATCACAATCCAGATTAAAACAGTACAGTAAAAAATATATGACTTTTTAAATACAATATACATTCCTATATTACTTCATTAAAACAACAATTAAACCTGAAGGAACTATTAAAAGATGTAATTTGATTCATGTCACTTAGCTGTCTTAAAAATGGTATATTCTAATTTCAACAAACAAAAGGAAATTTCACTTCCAAATCTATGCCACAGAGGAAATGACCAAGAAAGCCACAATTTTAGCATTGAAAAAAAATTAAATTATTCATTCTCATTTCCATTTAAGTAATAAAATTTGGAATTAAATGGTTTTTTACTTAATTATAACAGTATAGAATCTTTATTAATAACAAACTTAACAGTTGTACCTAAACCAGACATTTATAACTGAATTTGTATTCTACCCTAAAATAAAGCAAATAATTCAACAGCAAAATAGCATTATGTGGATACTTCTTCAAACATAAAAAAAGATGTTATATTCAAAATGTTATAGTGTTTCAAAAAGAAAGGGCTTGAAGGGTATCCTTTGATATCCTCTGCCAATTATTCTTTTCGGTAACGGAATTTTTTTTATTCCTTCTGAAGATGTTTTTACCTATATAGTTCTCAAACTTACACCATTCCTATGCTTTTACCTTTAGGAGTTGAAGCTTAGGATTCTGAAGATTCCTGATGCCCAAAGATTCCAACCAACTGTTTTAAAAGTCCTGAGAGTACATGAATGCTAAGCTAAACATACTGGAAAACTAAGTATAAGGGTAGAAATTTCATTCCTTCACTCTCACAAATGAGGAAAATCCATCCTAGAATACAACTTTGGTTTATAGTCCAAGAGCCTCAACCAATAATCTTGTTAGTTTCAAATAGAGAATTAAATTTTGGTGGCATATCACATCTAACTCAGGCATCAAAAATATATTTTGAAGTTGCCTTTATAATATATTAATATTATAGTTAATAACACTCATTGTATGGGTATAAAATTCAATCTCAAGTATAAAAATACATTAAAATACAAAACTTACCCACTGGCACAAAGGAGAAAACTTTCCTGTTACAGCTTTCAATACTTCCTGGCTAGCAACACCTCCTACTGCTGCAGCAAGTGGGGGTAAAAAACCTTGAGCAGTCCAAGAGAGCCAATGCACAATGTCAGCATTTACTTCTGGCTGAAACACAAGCCATGAAAGATAATAATTTTGAGACAGTTAGGTGGCTCAAGCAGTTAAGCGTCCAATTCTTGATTCTGCTCAGGTTGAGCACCCCCCGCCCCCCACTGTTGGGCTCCCTGCTGAGAGGATGGAGAGCCTACTTGGTATTCTCTCCCTTTCTCTCTGTTCCTCTCCCAACTGCACACACATTCTCTTTCAAAATAAACTTTTAAAAGTCCCCACCAGTTTTTACATATATACTCAAAATTTCAATAACTTAATGTGAGAATTATTACTACAGCTTAACTTCTAAGAAAGCTACTCAATTTCTCTATTAGATTTTAAGTCCTAAAAAAGTTCCAATCTCAAAATAAAAGATCCAATTGCATGTTAGTTACCCTAAGCAGTATTTCTCTTTATCAGTAACTGCCCATTTTTGCTTTTTGAATCTATATATTATACTAGGGCACAATTTAAGATTAACTGGAATACCTACCATTTATAGCTTTTGTTAAAGATCAGTTCTGTGATGTCAGTCAATATTTATAAACAACCAGAATATTAAAACACTGTTCTAATGGGAACTACGGGAAAACCTTGATCCCAAAAAAAAAAAAAAAAAAAAAAAAAAAAAAAAAAAAGAAGCTTTTAGAAAAAAAAAAAAAAAAAAAAAAAAAAAAAAAAAAAAAAATCCATAAAAAAATAAGGAGCTTTTAGCCTGTGTTCAAAGTAGTAAAAAAAAAAAAAAAAGTAAGAGTCAAAAATAATGAGGCAGGGGGCACCTGGGTGGCTCAGTCGGTTAGGCATCTGACTTCCACGCAGGTCATGATCTCATGGTTCATGGGTTCGAGCCCCGCATCAGGCTCTGTGCTGACAGCTAACTTAGAGCCTGGAGCCTTCTTCAGATTTTGTATCTCCCTCTCTGTCTGATCCTCCCCTGATCATGCTGTCTCTCTCAGAAATAAACAAATCATATGATGAGATTTGTACTTCTAAAACCCCTTGTTTTAGACATAAAGTTCTCATCATCATACTTAAAAACTGAAATTATGTTCTTTGAAATAAGATTTATTTATTAGTATTTTTAAGGAAATATTGGAGAATTAGATTCTGGAGCTAGTATTTTAGCACAATTTCTTATTTGTGAGAAAGATCTCTTCATGAGCTCTGGCTTCCCTTTTTCATCCTATTCTTTCAGTATCAGTAACTTTAATCTTAACCTTAAGACTCAAATAGGGCTCAACTGCTCTGAAATCCTATGTAAAATAATACTGCTTGTGCAGTTAGGAGGTAAGAGGGAAGGCTTTTATTACATTCTCAAAGATATTTGTGATACAAAAAGACATTAGTATCTACTTACTATTCCACCCACTGCATTTCAGTCAGTGGTCTATAGGTCATTATTTTTCAACTACTTAGCACTAAACTCAACTCTGATTATTTCATGTAAGCTGTGCCCTTTCTGAATGCAGATACTGGTGTAATGATAATATTAAAAATAACAATGAAACTGCAAAGAGAAGCAGGTAATTTGAGCATCTAGTGTGAGTTGTGTATTAAATCCACATGTAATTTTCAAAATAATCCTAGGAAATATAATTTTTATCATACAGATTAGAAAACTGAAAGTTTGAAAAAGTAATTTACTTCTCAATAATAAGTGAAACTAGAATCTGAACCCTAAAAGTCTAACTTACCAGTAGGTTACAATAGCTCCCAAGATTCTATCATTTTTTAATTAAGAAACAAACATTCAAATCTGGGGAATTTTGAGTTGCCCTAGGATAAAGAGCTCAAATCTGAATTTGCCTACACAATCTCTAAAAATAGATACATATCCAAAAGAAGAGAAATAAACGAGTGGCAGGGTTTCAGTATTACTAGAAAACAGAATAGTATAAACTTCAAACTACCTGTAAATAGAAAAATAAGTACCAAACTCCAACAAAACTACTTCTAGACGTCATATTGCTATAAGCCTGCACAGAGAGCAGGAAGCGTGTAACCACAGAAAAGAGAATGAAAGGCCTTAAGAGTGACAAAGCACAGTCAACATCATCCTGAGAAAACAGAAGCCCCAGCACTAACTGTAAAAAGTACTGAATACATATGTAATCTGGCAGATCTCAGCACCAGCTACAGTTAAAGAACTTCAGTGGGAGAGAATGATGTAAATAGAAAGAGGGCAACATTCTTTGACGCAGAAGGCTAAAATAAGGAGACAGGAAGTTAATGATTTGGCAGAAATCAAAGAGATCTATAAGATGCCAATACCTAACCACCAAAATCAAACAAACCCAACCATTAAAGAAACCCCTTTCTAGTATCTTAAGAGAACAAGGGGTTTTAGAAGTACAAATCTGAAAAAGCACCCAAAACTCTTAACCTGCCCCCAAAATAGACAGAAAAAGCAGTTTACTATACAAAAGTAATGTAAGAAGGAAACAGAAAATTAGATCAAAACATTTCAGCTAATGAAAATTTCTCCTCCAAACTAATTATAAGGCAGAGGAAATTTGACTGAGTGAATTATATCTTTAAAGAACACTTGGGAGATGTAGAAAAAGAAACACAAAAACAACCTCATCTCCAATCAAAAATTCAGTAACTAAGTACCAAAAGAATCCATTCCACCACCAATCCTCTCCCCCCAAAAGGAAAGAAATAAAAGAAAATTTCAACCTATGTATTGAAATGCACTCATAGTATGGGAAAAATAGACTGAAAAATCAATTCTGAGATATAATCATTTAAAATTATTATACTTTACAGACGAAAAATATACAAAACCACCAGACTACTTATAAGAGTAAAAAAATTAAGCTGGCATTATTATTTCTCAATAGTAAGATACAAAAGCAAGATACCATTAAAGAAAGTAATGCCTAGAATGTTATATTCAGCCAAATTCTCTTTCAGTATGGGGGCTACCAAAAATATTTAAAACATGTAAGTACTCAGAAAAAAAATGTAATTCTGAGCTCCTTCAGAGAAATATACTAGAGAACAAACTTGATTCCAAGAATTACCATAGAGCTACAATAATCAAGATAGGATGGTACTAGCATAAAACAATGGAAGACAGGGCACCTGGGTGGCTCAGTCAGTTAAGCGTTAAGCGTCCGACTTCAGCTCAGGTCATGATCTCGCAGTTCGTGGGTTCGAGCCCGCATTGGGCTCTGTGCTGACAGCTAGCTCAGAGCCTAAAGCCTTTTTCAGATTCTGTCTCCCTCTCTCTATGACCCTCCCCTGCTCATGCTGTCTCTCTCTCAGAAATAAACAAAACATTAAACAAAAAAAAAAAAAAAATTAAAAACAATGGAGAACAGAAACAACCAGTGGAAGATAACACTGAGTTCAGAAACAGCCCTATACATATGTGGTCAATAAGTTACGGACAAAAAATACCCAGAATATGGAATAAGGAAAGAATTATCTTTTCAACAAATGGCTAGAACTACTGGATATTTTACACACCAAAAAATTAACCTTGATCTATACATGGCAAAGTATGAAAAAAATGAACTCACCAAAGTACAAAACTGTGCCCAGTGAATTAAAAAGGTACAGTTGTGTACACTTAACCTACACTTCTATATTTTGCATGACATACAAAAAAGAGGTCACAAAACTATAAAAATTCTGGAAGAAAACACGGGACAGAAGCTGTGAACTTGGATTGAAAAAAGGTATAAAACACATAAAAAAAATTGATACATTGAAGTTTATCAAAATTAAAAGCTTCTGCTCTTTAAAGACACTGTAATAAAATGAAAAGATAAGCCATGGACTAGAAGAGAATATTTGTAAAACATGTATTCTATAAAGGACTGATATCCAGAGTATATAAAGAACCTTCTCAATCAAAGAGAAAACAACCTACCTAATTAAAAAACAAAGGTTTAAAAGAACAGCTTATCAAAGAAGAGATATGAGTGGCAAATAAGCACATGAAAAGATACCAAATCCATAGTGATCAATGAAATGGAAATTAAAACCAAAACATGATATTAATGCATACATGTTAAAATGGCTAAAATCAAACAAACAGATAATATTCCATTATGGAAAGAATAAAGGATAATTCAAACTCTCATACGTTTCTGATGGGAATGCAAAAGGGTATAGCTACTCCACAAAACAATTTGGCAGTTTCTTATAAAATTAAACCTGTATCTATCATTTGTCTCTGTAATAAACTACTAGGTGTTTACCCAAGAAAAATGAAAACATATGTCTACACCAAAATTTGTATGCATATGTTTATAGATGCTTTATTCATATTTTCCCACACTGGAAATCCTTATGTCCATCAGCTGGTACAGAAAAAAATCAGCGGTATACCTATCCAATAGACTAGTACGCAACCAATAAATAGGAATGAACATGCAACATGGATTAAACTCAAATTCATTATATTTAGTAAAAGACTCCAGACTCAAAAGGTTACATACTGCATGATTCCATTTATATAACATTCTAAAAAAAAGGCAAAAATATACTGGTTGCCATGGTTTGGCTGGGGGAGAGGGAGATGATCATAAAGAGACATGAGGAAATTTTTTGGCATTATGGAAATATTTAATATCTTGACTGTGGTGGTGGATATAGGACTATACACTTTAACTGTGTACAGCCGGATTGTATACAAAATTTTGTATAACTATACATATAAAAACATGAAATTTTCTATATCTAAGTTTTATCTTAATAAATCTAATGAATTCCTAATCACATCATTCCTTTTAATCACAGACGTCATCAATATATTTCTACTTTTTCACACTTTTCTGTAACCACTAAATACGCATACATGAAAGGTCTTTAACTTGTGGTTAATGATTCACCGCTTTCAGTACATTATTTCCTCCTTTGTTTTAATCACATAAAATATAAGATCATATTATTCTTAATCATTAATGTTAAGACTTTACATTTCCCCCTCATTTTTATCCCATAATAACAAAAACAATAAAATTTTCAACTAATTGCACAAAGACTACTACTTTGATATCTGCTAAAATAAAACTACTGGCCAGCAGGCACTGGCACCATAACATGAAAAACTCATTTTCTAGGGGATATATCAAAGATGATATGCAAAATGCAATTAAGAGATATGAATATACAATGGGTAAAAGATGATTTACAGGAAAACTTACAGCTATATAGTGAGTTTCAGTGGGTTAACAAAGTAAATCAGGAGAGAATACTAATACTAAAAACATAGCGGCAGCAGAAAATAGTAATTACTATCTTCTAAGTGCTTCACAAAATTAAATCATTTAATGTACACAATAACACTCTGAGGTGGGATAACCCTATTTTACAGATTTATAAACTAAAGCAGAACAAATTTAAGTAACTTGCCTACTGTCACAGAGTCAATAAGCAGCAAAGCTGGGATCTGAAAGGTAAGAGAATATTGATATATAGAATGTTTATATGTTATACCTATTTTGATGGCCATAACTTTGAATACTCACCTTCTCTTCCAGGGTTTCACTTATAGATGTTGCTAGTTTCAAGAGCTCTTCTGAATCTTGCTGGCACCTAGGATTCAACATGAAGCACCCACTTTCAATATTCTCAACTGCTATAAACAGCAAGTCATATTCAAAACTAAAATTTAAGAAATCTGTAAAAAAAAAAGTGGAATTTTGCCAGCAGGTAGCATGAAGTGCTTCCCTGACTTGAAGGTAACGGACTCATAAATACATTAGTTAAAAATCATGTTTACCTAAGGAAAGTACAGAAATAGGATAATAGTTTTTTAAATATACAATGCAAATACTTTTTGCAACAATACTTCTGACTTTAAATAAACTGGAAAGTAAAAAATTACATAGGATTCATAATTCAATAATTCTCAGATTTTTTTCTTTTAAAAAGTTTAAAAACTAGCATTTGAAGGCTTCAAAATGGAAAAATTCTTACTGAGCATAATTCCATTTTTAGGAATTGATCTCTCCACTTCCACCAGAAAAAAGGCCAGAAGGTCATAATAAGTGTCTATAAAGTTCCGTGTATCTAGTAGTGTTGCAACTATGAGGGGCTTTAGTTACTAAACTAAACTTATTTTAGTTCCTAAACTAAAACATCTAGTTTAAATGTTTTAAATTACAATCTCCAAAATACTGCTTTTATAGTAAGGAAAAAAAGCTATTTCAAACAAAGAACATTACCCAATATTTGGCTTGCGACTATAGTTCTCCTGGAACTGGTCCAAGGCAAGCATTGCTGTGTGAATCTGTAAAGGTGCCTATTTAGAACATTAAAAATTGGTCAACAGTTATTGAGTGCATAATACACCACACAGGCATTGTGCTAACACTTGAAAAATATTATTTAATTCTTAAAATAAATCAATTAGCTTAATACTATTATCTGTATTTAACAAATGAGGAAGCTGAAGCTTAGAGAAGTTAAACAACTTGACTTCAAGGCCATAAAGCTATTTTTAAACAATAGATCCAAGTTTCAATTTCCGGTGGTATAACCAGTTTTTAGTAGATTATCCATATGAAGGTCAGAGTAAAATCAACTAAACAACACCAACAAAAAATTTGTATAAGATCAAGATCACCTAATTCTTCTTCTTTATCAACATTTATAAATTTGGAAACTGTTAATACTATTCCTTCCTTATCACAAATGCATTCACTGCTACAAAATTATATTCAGTGGTTTAAAACAAAAGAATGCTTCCAAGGTTTTTTTAGGAAGAAACATGTATTATATAAAACTCTACATGGTTCTGAAAATCTTTTACTAAGATTACTTTGCATAAATTATTGAAATAGTTTTTAATTATCAAAGCTAACATATCATTATAAAAGTAAAACAGTTTTCTATTCTTAAAATTTTTCCATGATATAAATTCCTGTTTTTAATCCTTGGGAGTCAACTCGAGATATATGAATACAATCTTTATTAAAAAAAAACTAACAGAAAGGTACCAATTCCCATCCCCAGTCTGTTGTCTCTCTCAAACCCACCAAGTGTTTGTTTACCTCAGGTTTGCCAAAATCCACAATAAGGCACTTAGGATGTTTTATCTGCCTCTCCAATGGTTCCTTAATAGAAACAAAAACTATTACTTCAGAAACAAAAACTTTGAGTTCAAGCAAGTGATTACTTGACAAAAAATATAGAGCACTAAAAGCAATGTATCTCTACCAAGGTCTGAAATAAATATGGTTGAGCTAATCTGATTTAATAGAAATATAAAAGAGCTACCATTCCCCATTATCTATTGTCTTATTGCTATACTTAATTTTTTTTAATGTTAAATGCAATTAGATAACCTGCTATACATAGTAAATTAGGAAATTGGTGAAAACACCTGTATACTCGAAAAAAAACCCTATTATTTTGATCAAAATCTACCATCTTTTTCTAATATCAAATTATCAAGATTATGTTATACCTGACTTGAATAAATACTCAATGTTGAAATTTTCTGTGTAGAGCAAAGAACACACAAAGGCCAAAAATGCCAGCCAGCCAAACAACCAACCCCCAAACACACACCCAATCTGAAATTTACTTGTGGCATAAACCAGAGACATATTTAAAAACTGGGGACAGTAGCCAAGAGGAAATAATTCAGGGGCAGATCTGACTAACTGTGGTATTTTAATTTGTTGTTTTCTTCTATCTTTGGCTTGGACAAAGCCTTGTAGAGGACTATGGTTAATAATTGTTCTGGAAAAGAAGAGGCAATCAAGTTAAACCTTGAGAACTTGCAAGAAAAAACAGATGTACTTGACAGCTTGTACTAAGTGGCCTGCTGATTTAAGCAGCAAGAGGCTCCTTAGTTCCTTGATACAGAGGAACATCTACATTCTCTTTCTTTAGATACTTATATTTTCCTTTGAATGCCAGTTTAAATGACTTATTTTACATTTCCAACATTACACTGTTTCTTGAGATTAAAAAAAAGCCGAAATTTAAAAACCTGAGCTGACAAGTGTGATAAATAAAAGAAATATTCCTTTTATTTTTAAAATGGAATAATTAATAAAATAAAACATACACTGTTTCAGTGCTTGTTCAATCTTTCAAATATATATTAGCTTTATCTTTTGTATTTGGGAGTAAGAAGTACAATCAACTCTTTGGTGATTCACAAAAGTATAGTTCCTTTGAGGTAACAACTTATATACTTCAATTATATTCATTGGTATTCTAGCTATAATTTTTTGTTAATATCAATTTATTTCCTTAAATTGATCCCACTTCCCTCAAAGTGGGTAAAAATTAAAAATAAAAATCTGTTCAGCCCTTAAATTAACTGTTTGGTTAACTGAATATTTATTACTTTTTTCTCTACAGCCATTCTCCTGCAAAGAAATATATTTTAAGCAAGAAAAAAATACTTACAAAGCAAAATGTTTTAGGAGTCTTAACTTGGACAGCTATGCCTCCATGTAAATAGGGATCCAGTTCTGTAGTATCACCAATGCTAAAAGAAAATGGTGATACCACTAAAAGAAAAATAAGAAAACCATTATATATTATAAGGCGTCAATAATTAATATGTTGATACTAATTACATGTAATTAATACTAAATATAATGTGGTACTGGTTAATGAATAGGCAGACAAAAAGAACACTGTATGTAGCCCCAAGATTCTGAACTATCACAATCCCTCATTGCATAGACCATAAAATAATAAATGATAATCCTAAACGATTAGTTAATTTTTACAAAAACAGATACAAATTTTTTAATATCAATAATGTAACCTGTATTTTACATATCTGGATACAGTATGGGAAACAAAATCCAATGATTTTGTAATCAAAGATGCTTAACCAACTATAGATCCAAAGTTATTTTACTATGAAGAGTTCATAATAGGGATTGATTTTTTTCTCAAAGGATCCATTTTGCAGTCATTACAAGAAAAAAAAGTAACACATTTACTAGTCTACATACTAATCACATAATTAGACTTTCAAATGTCGCAAAAATAAACTTGAATCTTCTTAGCTAACAAGTGTAAACATGCCATCTTTGAGTTAGTTACAAGATGTCTAGCAATGTCTTTGACTCTCTTAAACATGGCTAGAGAAAAATCACAAATTAAGCATACTAACACTGCCACAATTTCAGTATCTTCAACTTCAAATGGGCACTAAATGAAATCTGATAATCTATTTTTTAAAATGTTTAACTCTCCTTAAATCTATGACCTTGCCACTTTCGCTCTCCTTTGGGCAATGATCTCATCTTAGTCTACTAAAAAAAAACAAACCAAAACAACCAAATTTCTTCAACATTTGCCAACAAACCCACAAACTTGCCTGCAATAACATCCATTGATTCCTTTTATCTAAGCCACTAACAAAAACATCCCTCCACCTGAATACTTCATTGCCACTTCAATAAACGAACCTCAACTGTACTCATCATCATCTCTCCAAAACTTGAACTCTCAAAGTGAATACGTAAGTTGCCCATGTTGGATTCTTTGCTTACCTATGAGATTATCAAATTTTCTCTTAAATGTCTTAAGATATTTGCTATCTCAACTCCCACTGCCAGCCCTGCCATATTATATCTTTTAGTTCCTTGAGCTGTTTGCCTCTTTTTGTTGGTCTCTGCATAGAATATTCTTTTCATCATCTTCCTAAGCCAAAGCAATCTTCAAATTGTAGTCAAGATACTTGACCCCACTGCTGCTGTACCAAAACCAGATAGATTTCCTTGCCATGTTTAGAGTTCCCAGAAATGCTTGAACTCTCTTTACACTCTCTTTACATCACTGCTTAATGTTAACATGTTCTCACCTGGATTGAATGTTTTGAGGCCAAAAATTAGATCATGTTTGTCTAAGATGATGTAGTGTTCTCAACACTGTATATACTGTCTAAACTATTGTGTTGAATAATGAATATAAATGGATTAATAAAACACATAAACTTACCAGTTATTTGTTGTGTCGATCCATTTAAGCCTGTCATTCCATTAATTTCTCGGAATGTTAAAAACTGTCCCGTCTCAAGTTTGTGAGGATGATTTTCAAGGCAGGTGACAATGCCAGGATTAGCCTAAATAAGAGTATTCTACTAAAAAGAAGTTCATGTATTCCTTTTTGGCACAAATATCAAATCTCACACAAAAGGGACCACGTTATCATAAAATTCTCAAAACAATCAAAATACCAAGCAATTCCTTTTCTTCCTTAGTAAAAGACTTTTAAGCATTATTGCAATATAATGATCAACCTATTATTTTATTATGAATGCTTAAAATATAATTTCTGAAAAAATAAAATTAAATAAAATATAATTTCTGTGTTGGGGGAAATAGAGATTCTACATGGAAGTTAAAATTTTCCATAGATACAGATTCTTTTGACTTATAAAACACATTGAAAGTTATCAAATTTAAGTTTTAAAGTCATGTTATAAAAAAATCTGTGTGCATAAAAGAGTCTAACTTTGAAGATCAAACAAATGCAAGAAAAGGACAGAGACTTAAATTTTTTATTTTATTTTATTTTCAGAGAGACACAGAGAGAGAGTGAGTAAGCGAGCACACTCAAGTGGGTGAGGAGGTAGACTGAGAGAGAGAATCTCAAGCAGTCTCCATGCTCAGTGCAGAGGCTGACACAGGCTCGATCCCACGACTGTGAGATCATGACCTGAGCCCAAATCAAGAATCGTATGCTCAACTGACGGAGCCACCCAGGTGTCCCGAGAAGAATGGAGATTTAAAGCCAGAAAACTGGTAATTTAAAGTTTGCTGCCCAACATGTTAAAGGGAAAAAAAAATACTGTGTAGCTCAGCTTACCAGGACAAAAATAGGAAGAAACTGGCCTATCTCACCGAAGAGGATGGATAAGATAGGTCCAAGATCCAGAAATTTCTTTAACTGCATATAATCCAACACACTGGTTGGGTAAGGTGATAATAAGTTAATCTACATAAAACCTAAAGACTTAGCATTCTTCCTTTCTTAATTGTGAAGATTCTAAAAATTCTCCTGTGGCTTAATGATTTGGGTAAGAATTATAATCACAAACAAGTATATAAAATTAACATAATGTGGGTTTACTAATATCTCAAGAAAAATAAAATTTATAAGGACTTTGTTAAAAAAGAAATATTTCTGCAGATAAGTTAAATGGGAACATTTATGGTGCTTTCTAATTCATTATGGATAACCTTCATACTTCTTGTACTATTTAATAAAAGAAAATACCAATGCAATACAAGAATCCAAATATCTCCTGGAGCCTTTTCTAACTGTGTGATATTTGCAGGGACAAACTAAAAACAATCACAATGATTAAAGGTTGAACAATAAATCATTCTATAAGCATAGAGACACAGAATGATTTTTTTAATGCATTTCTCTTAAAAAGGGATGAAAAGGTAACATTACACTGAGTTTAAAAATCAAGCATAAAAATAGAAGCACAAATATTATTCCCTCACATTTTGGTTTCTTTTGAGCTTTAATGTAAACTGATTAGAAAGAATGCAAGTAAAAGTAATGATTTAGACTAAAAATGTAGGAAAACTTGATTACAATATTTCCAATTCTTTTAGGGAATAAAAAACTTAAGCTTACATGAAGAGAACGTGGTTAGAAAGTTGAGACCTTCTGATCTAAAGGGTAATTAATTCTAATTCTTTTTTTCCTCTTTCAAATGTTATAGAAATATAACAAATTTTAGAAAAGCTTTTGTTTATAGTGACCTAAGTGTACAATCCTCCTGTAGCCATGTGTTGGGCCAGGTGACTTATGACATACTTAGTACATTTATGATCTGACACAATAAACAGAAATCAGTAAACACTGAATACACTTGATGTCCAATAGGAACATGACAGAGAACAAAATGAAAATTTGTGACAAGAAAATGTTGATCTATCAATTATTAAATGATGTTAGAAGGAATTCAGATACTCAATATTCTAACTTAAATTTAGTTTTAGTATAATTTGATCAAGAAATTAACAAAATAGTCCCTCATGAATTACCTTAAAATATTATAAAACAAAAGAAAAATATTTCATCTTACAGTATTTTGCTAATGTCACCTTTAAAAAATGTATTCACATCAGGGCGCCTGGATGGCTCAGTCGGTTAAGCATCTGACTTCGGCTCAGGTCATGATCTCGTCGTTTGTTAAGTTAGAGTCCTGTATCAGGCTCTGTGCTAACAGCTCAGAGCCTGGAGCCTGTTTCACATTCTGTGTCTCCCTCTCTCTCTGCCCCCTCCCCCCAACACATGCTCTGTCTCTCACACTCTCAAAAATAATAAACGTTAAAACCATTTAAAAATAAATAATAAAAAATATATTCAAATCAACCTTAAAAAATCAATCATATATGTATACAATAATATACATATACAATCATACTTGCGTTATATTTGAAATGAAAATTTCTTTTGGCTCTTCTCCTGTTGTATCTGAAACTTCAAATTCATCACCAAAATCACAAAATAACCGTGACCAAATTCCATGTACATCTGCACTGATAAACTGTGAAATGATAAAAATAAGTTCAAGCTTATCTATTTATATAAAGGAAGAACCCCACCTCAACTATTTTAAGTCCCTTCATGACTTCATTTATAATTAAATTATCCTTTGGGATATATAAAGTGAATCACAAACAGAATACATTACTTGTGAAGTGGTTCAAGAATCAAGGATGTTGGTATTTGAGATTGTGTATCTAGTGCTATACAATAAAACACATATCATTATTATACATTCTATGACTTAAATATCAAAAATTATTTCCTTTCCATGTTTTAGCTATTGTGGAGAGTGCTGCTATGAACATTGGGGTACATGTGCTCCTATGCCTCAGCATTTCTGTATCCCTTGGGTAAATTCCTAGCAGTGCTATTGCTGGGTCATAAGGGAGTTCTATTGTTAGTTTCCTGAGGAACCTCCACACTGTTTTCCAGAGGGGCTGTACCAGTTTACATTCCCACCAACAGTG